TGAAATGCCTTGCTGCTGAAATGTGCTATACAAATAAAATTTGATTGATTGATGTGTGTGTGTGTGTGTGTGTGTGCGTGTGTGTGTGTGTGTGTGTGTGTGTGTGTGTGTGTGTGTATTTAGGAATAAAAACAACAAACTCACATTATTATCTGCTTTCTATAGGTTGGAGTGAACAATGGACAGTGAACCTGGCAAAGTCATGGAGGTGCCGGCCCTTGGTCGACCTTTTAGCCCTGGGATGTTGTACGACTGCCGCACTGACTCACTTGTTCCTGGTAAGAATGAGACATCCTCAAAGATCTGATTAAAACCAGTAGCACACAGAGGCAAATTGTGTGTTTGAATGTTGTGAAGCAACAAATTTGTACTGTGTGTGTGTGTGTGTGTGTGTGTGAATGATTATTTGTCCTGTGATGGTGCACCTATCCAGGGTATACCCTAATATAACTGGTGAAAATAGGACAGTACATGGACAATTAGACACTTTTCATAATAGATTTTCCATATTTTCTTATTTACTCCCAGAAATGGTATATAATATATGTACATCAATAGCACATGGAACCTGTTAAGGAAGAATATTCTATCTAAAATAGGTTAACTTTGGAAAAAGTTTGGCTCTCTCTTCCTCTGGATCCCAGGTCCTCTCGGCGGGGCACGTGTGGCCACAAGGAAAACAACAATGCGTGTTGACGTCACAGAATTACAGAGTTTAATCCAATGCATAAACTAACACCAGAAACTGCAGAACAACGGAGACATACATTCATTTACCTGACATAAAGAAGGAAAGAAAGAAAGAAAAGCAAAGACGTGCAAAGACATCTTTGGAGAATTGCAAGAGCAAATCTGATTTGTTACTTTTGTGTAGAAAGTTTTATAGTAAAAGGCGTATTCTCATCTTTAATTTATTCAAATAAGGCGTATCTTTGCTCATCCAACCAGGAGCTATCTCTGACCCTCTTTCTAAAGTCAGAAACTCCTGCTGTGTTTACGGCTTTTCACAGATGAGTGTGAAAAGCTACAACTTCCACTGTATTGTTTTCCCACAGACAAAAGGCAGTTCAAACGATCCTAGCAAACCATCTGCTGTAACTACAGGTAACATAAAGGTCAATAGGCCAGAATAAGTCACTGATNGGCGAGCCACATGTAGCCACAAGGAAAACAACAACAATGCGCGTTGACGTCACAGAATTACAGAGTTTAATCCAATATAAGACAATGTATAAACTTACACCAGAAACTGCAGAACAACAGAGACATACATTCATTTACCTGACATAAATGGAAAGAAGAAAAGCAAAGACGTGCAAAGACATCTTTGGAGAGTTGCAAGAGAAAATCTAATGTGTTACTTCTGTGTAGAAAGTTTTATCTTCTTTTCTTTAATTTATTCAAATAAGGTGTATCTTTGCTCATCCAATCCAGGAGCTATCTCTGACCCCTTATCTGAAGCCTAGAACCCCTGCAGTGTTTACGGCCTTTCACAAATGAGTGCAAAAAGCCAGAACCTCCCCTGTACTGCTCTCCACACAGACAAAAGGCAGTTCAAACAATCCTAGCAAACCATCCGCTGCAGCCACAGGCAAAACAAAGGTCAACAGGCCAGAATAAGTCACTGATTTAAAACCACAATTTAGGTCATTCGAATCAAGACATGCTCACTCACATCTGTCAATTTAAGTAATCTGGGTTGAAGCAGGAAACATCTAAAACATGCAGCAGTAAGTGGCCTTCAAAGGAAATTAGAAAGCTGCAAATGCCATTAAAAGCTGTTTAAAAGTTCTGAATGAGTTTCGGGAAGCTATACCACACTTTGCCTCCCACTTCCTGGATGAGCTGCCGCCTGTTACGTTCAACAATCTGGATGTCTCCAACTTAATCAGCAAGATGGAGCGTTTACACAGCGAAGTTTGTGCCCTGAAGCATACAGTGTCATGTCAAGTGGACGTTGAGGAGAAGTTGCGAGAGGTTACCACTACCATTGACCGCAGAGTTGCGGCAATGGAACGACATTTGGTGCCTGACGGTGGAGGATTTAGCAGTGTGGATACGTCTGCTCCAGGAATGTCCAACGCTAGTGACATGATATTGGCTGTGGAAGGAGGTGGCGGCATGCATGGTTTCTGCTCCAACAAACTGTGTTATCGCTGATAATGCGGCTTTGGCAGTGAATGGGACCTACACCGACTGTTCAAGGACTACTGGCGAGTCTGTCGCGGTGAGTGATAACTGAAACTGTACTGCAGATACACCTATAAGTTCACCCACATGGAACTTGGTGGTGAAACAAGGGCGGCGTTTGAGGACCAAGAGCCATTCAGCTCCGTTAAAACGGCAAGCTAAACCTGAGCGTAAAAGACCAGCATGTATTATCGGTACTGGTGGTCAAAGCACCATAAAAGTGGTCAGAAACAAGATTTCTTCCAGATCTTGATGATGAGACACTAACAAACTATCTTAAAGGAAAACTCGGATGCGATGTTCAGTGCTGGCGTATTGTCGCTGCGAACACCAGATAGTTCTTTTAAAGTCAGTGTGGAGTGTGAAAACATCGCAGAAGTGTATAACCCAGAGCTGTGGCCACAGGACTTGGTTGTGCGCCGTTACTATGAGCCACGGAATAATTTGGAGATCAGATCGTGCATATGTTGATACCACAGTGAAGTTAGCTTCAAATTGGATATTGGAGCTCCACAGTGAAAAGTTGTTTGCTAGCGGTAGAGCAGATGAACACGTGTCTGTTATGAACGCCGCATTCCAGGTCGAGTTCTTCGAAGCGATGCCTCTAAGTAGCAGCTTATACTTCAAAACGAGCCTTTATGTTAACATATGATAAAATATGTTTATTGAATTAGTTTTGGAAATACCTGCGGGCGATTTGATTATGTGCTACGTCATTGCTAACTAGCAGGCTGCTAAGATTTTAGGTCGTTACGTAGCATTGCAGCTCATAGCATTCTGAGGTAGCTGTTGTATCAGCTGTACTTCTAATGTATGTAACTGAATGTAAAACATGTTAGCTGCTCTGAGCTCATCCTGAGTTGTTTGTGTTTGACAGTTTCACTCCATTCTACATGGAAATAAAGGAAGAACTAATTAATCCTGACTCGTGTGAAAGGAGTTTGGCTGATGGTTAGTTTTGGTACCAGACACCATAGCGAGACCATTACAAAGTGAATCATTGGAAGTCAAACTTGGAAATAAAAGAAGAAAGCGACCATTAAAATGGAATTAGGTTTTAATAGGGAAGTGAAATTTGAGAATGTTGTTGATCAGTTAAATAGCATTGAGGGGAAATTTTTTAATACTGAGATCATTATGAGAATTTGAGGCGTAGATATTAGGAACCAGTAGATGGCAGTAGTGCAATAATGGATGCAAGCTGCTGTTGAAATCTGAAGAAGAAGAAGGAAGCGCCCATTTTCATTTAGCTCATGCTAGTAGCAACACGAAGGATCAGCACTTTTACTGTTACAGTTACCGTTCGGAAACTACCGTAATCAGTTCAGTTAAATCTNGGTCTATTCAGGGGTCCTGGAGAGGAGCATTTGTTGGATAGTCGAACCTTGGATTCAGGAAGAGCAGTGTGGTTTTCGTCCAATGTTCCACGACCCTGGTCGTGGAACATTGGACCAGCTCTACACCCTCAGCAAGGTCCTGGAGGGTGCATGGGAGTTCGCCCAACCGGTCTACATGTGTTTTGTGAACTTGGAGAAGGCGTTCGACCGTGTCCCTCGGGGATCCCTATGGAAGGTTCTCTGGGAGTATGGGGTACCGGGCCCTTTGATACGGGCTGTGAGGTCCCTGTATGACCAGTGTTAGAGTCTGGTCTGCATAGTCAGGCTCGTTTCCAGTGAGAGTTGGACTCCACCAAGGCTGCCCTTTGTCACCAATTCTGTTTATTACTTTCATGGACAGAATTTCTAGGTGCAACCGAGGCGTTTAGGGGATCCATTTTGGTGGCCTTAGCATCTCTGCTTTTTGTGGCTGATGTTGTCCTATTGGCTTCATCAGATCTTGACTTGCAGCTCTCACTGGAGCGGTTCGCAGCCGAGTGTGAAGCGGCCGGGATGAGGATCAGTGCCTCCAAATCCGAGGCCATGGTCTTGAGCCGGAAAAGGGTAGAGTACCTTCTCCGGGTCGGGGCGTTGTCCTGCCCCAAGTGGAGGAGTTTAAGTATCTCGGGATCTTGTTCACGAATGAGGGAAGAAGAGAGCAGGAGATTGACAGGCGGATTGGTGCAGCATCTGTAGTGAAGCGGGCACTGTACCGGTCCGTCGTGGTGAAGAGAGAGCAGAGTCAAAAAGCAAAACTCTTGTTTTACAGGTCAATTTACATTCCCACCCTCATCTATGGTCATGAGCTTTGGGTCATGACTGAAAGAACGAGGTCCCAGATACAAGCAGCTGAAATGGGTTTTCTCCGTAGCGTTTCTGGGCTCTCCCTTAGAGACAGGGTAAGAAGCTCAGTCGGGAGGGACTCAGAGTAGAGCCGCTGCTCTTTCACGTCGAGGGAGCCAGTTGAGGTGGCTGGGGCATCTGGTGAGGATGCCTCCTGGATGACTCCCTGGTGAGGTGTTCAGGGCACGTCCCACCTGGAGGAGGCCCCGGGGAAGACCCAGACACGATGGAGGGACGATGTCTCTCGGCTGGCCTGGGAACGCCTTGGGATTCCCCCGGAAGATCTGGAACAAGTGGTTCGGGAGAGGGAAGTCTGGGCCTCCATTCTTAAACTGCTACCCCCACGACCCGACCCCGGATAAGAAAATGGATGGATAAATAATTTATGGTACTGAGAACCTTATTGTTAAATATTATTTTACTGGTTGCAGGTTTTTCAGTTGTACTTTTGACTGAATAGCTGCTGTATTTGTGCCTGCAAATATTTTACCAGTTTAAGTCTAAATTAGGTGAATTTATTACCAGATAATTTTGCCAGGTCACATAGTAGCATTTATACTTATAGTGAAAAATTCACAGCCAATCCAGATGATCGGCAATGATCGGCCCTCATGGGGCCGTATCAGAATCGGCAGCAAAAAACCTGATCGGATCATCCCTAGTTTAGATCAAATCATTGTCATATCTGCAACAGTCCATCTCAAGGTAACTAAAGCTGAACAGATTACTGAATATCTTCCAGAACTAGGAACTTACTGTTTAATCAACATTTCACTGAAATCCAACAGATTTCATTCTACTGAAATGAAAAGGTTCTGGTTATGACATAAGTGAAGTTGAAGCATTAGGCGATTTCGCACTGCACGGAACGGTACGGAACGGAACGGTTCCGAGTGTGTTCGCATTACAACTTGCAACCGGTTCCACCCGGCCCCATGGAACCACAAGAGCTGTGGTTCCAATCGTG